CAACAGAACTAACCCTCTTCTAGACTGTAACGAAGAGTGCAGTTACAGCATTTACACCACCTAATCAAAACAGAACCCACCGCAACTGACTTCGCACATAATTAGCTTGTAGTTGGCTTTGTCTAATTGCGGCCAAACTGAATTCCTACCGACACTGTAACACCTGATCCCAATGCCCAAAATACTGCAATGGATGATAAGGCCAGAGCTCTTTCCAGCCGATAGAGTACAACTCGTGTTCGATTAAATTACTGAAAGAGATAGTTGCTTCTCTGTTATCCAAACTCAATCTCATCACAATAACAAAGTAAAATTCCATAAGACTCTCTCTCTCATTCAATTGCTTCCCAAAAAAATCACCAAAAAAAATTCCAAAATCCTCAATCCAAAAAAAAGAAAATCTTAGTTTAGGTAAACTTGCAGAGAGTACAAAATAAAATTATCGTAGCACCCCATTTTACCAGAAATCAAATAGCCCTCTTTCTTAACGGATTATCATCAATGAGAAGAAAAAAAGATACCAGCAAATCAAAGAAAAGGAAAGAAGAAAGGACGAATACCCAAAAGAGAGGCTTGGAGCAAGAGCATGGCCATGAGAACCTCATCAGTTGGATTAAGAGCGCCGGCTTCCATCTTACGGTTCTGAATATTCCCAATAGTGTAAACATTAGACAAGAGAAGAACTAGGATTGTCCCAGCAACAGTCTTGACGACGACGGGTCCCCTCCCTCGCTTGACTCGATCCAAACCCATGATCACCAACTTTCTTAACGGATTTCTGAATATCAGAGTTAAAATCACTCCCATCTCGGAAAAAATTGCGATGTACAACGGCTGAATCATCTTCCTCTGTCTTGCTCCGCTCCAGTCCACTGGGCTAGCAAAGAGTTTTAGCTGAGTCAGAGAGAGAGTGAGGGAGAAATGGTTGTTTTGAGTTTGCCCTCTTTTCTATCGTTGGGGATCTTCAACGATGTTGTACTACTTACTGCCTGCCAACTGCTGCCTTTTGACGTGTTTGATTTTAGAAAATTAAATTAATTTTTTTAAAATTAATATATTTTTATTTCTAAATTTTTTTATGTTAACAAATTTTAAAAATAAAAAATATTATATTTTTAAAAAATATTTTAAAAAATGATATGTTTTTTTTTAGGTTTAATTAATCCTATGATTCCGTCCATGGGATCCTAAATCGATATCATAATAAGTTTTTGGGCCAGATCCACCGTTAATTCTAATTATTTCAAGTGTAATTAAAAAGCTAATAAATTGTAGTTTAGCCAATATTAATATCCGTTCTTTTTTCAAGAAAAATGGTCATCAATCAAGTTTGTAGTTTTCCCCCCTTTTATTTACGTTGTTGGGGCATTAAATTTATTGTTTTCAGCGATATTAACTATACTCTATACTTATCACAATTAAAATTAATAATTAACTAATAACTAGTTTTTTAATGAGGTTCTAACGACTCTCTAACTTGAAACCTTATTTATTTAATCTTATTAAAAAGTAAAATTATTTGAATTTTAATGTTAAATTTGGGTACCATGATGAAATTAGTTTTGGTGGTCTCGAAGGAAGGCACGATGCGCTCTTTGTACGATCTATAGCGTGATTTAATGCATATTTAAACTGAAAAAATGTTGGGTGTTCGTGCTCCACGTGGAAAAAGGGAGCACCATATAAATCAACCAAAAAAAAAAAAAGTGTGTGATAGTGTACAGCTAAAAAGAAAGAAAAGAGAGCTTCGATGTATTTTTAGGGTTTGTGGCCAAAAAAACCAAAATAAAAGAGAAAAAAGGAGAATCATGTGAAAAAAAATAAATAAAGAAGAGGGCAACTTGAACAATCTTCATTCAAGTTTTGATATACAACTAATTCATCATTAGATTAAGCTGAAGTTTTTATAGCAAATTATTGACACATTCATTCTTATTTTGTATAGTTTGATTGAAGATTAGAAGTATTTAAGTTAATCAATTTTGTAAGATTTTTCTCTACTCTTTCTCTTTAGTGATGATATATTATAAGAATATGTTATTGTTAATGATGTATATTTTATCCTTTAGTCTAAACTAAAAAATAACACTTGATTATTCATTATTGTTATTAATAGTAGTTTTCTGATAAACTACAGTATCGTGATTTTTTCTCACATCATTGTTTTCATGTAAAATGTCGATGTTGATTTGTTGTGATTTTTCATATAGTTTGTTAATTAGGGAGATTATATTTGATTGTTTTGGTGTTTTTTTTTTATTTTAGATTAACGTGAGTGTTCGGGTTAGCATGCGCGCACCACGACTAATCCCACGGGTTGTGAAGTTAACGATCATGTAAGCCTCCAGTGGTCATCATATGAGCAACTAAGAACTCAAACCTGAGACCATAGAGAGAAAAAACTCCTTAATCCCAAATTCTTATCAATTGATCACCACCACGTTTTGGTGTATTTGATTGTATTGGTGTTTGCTTCCCTGCCCAACAAGTGCTATCAAAACTTTAAATGAATTTAGGTTGGTTATTATATATAAAGATAAAATATATAGAGAAAGTATTCTAACTTTATATTGCTATGGTATCTTTTCTTTTATCTTTTTTTAAAAAAAATTATATTTATCAATTTTATTTTTTTAATATTAAGCTAATTAAAAATTTAGCTTGATAATTTTTTTCTTTAAAATATTATACAGTGTTTTCTAATATGGTTTTTTTGTTTTGTTTTTCTATGATTTTTTCCAAAATTATCTTTATCAATTTTATTTTTAAATATTAAGTTGGTTAAAATTACAATTACAATATATGGGGGAAGCATTGTAGCTTTCCTCGTAAATTATCGTAAATTGCTATAATATTTTTTCTACATGGTTTTTTTTACAAATTATCTTTTTTTTAATTTTATTTTTTTCATATTGAATTGGTTGAGAATTATAATTACAAATAAAGCTAAATCATATGGGAAAAACATCGTAGTTTTCCTCATAAAACATTGTGAATTGCTACCGTTTTTCATTACATGGTTTTTTTTCAGTTTCTTTTGTGTATTTTTTGTAATAATTTTTTTTTAAATTATTTTTATCAATTTTATTTTTTTAATATTAAGCCAGTTAGAATTTAGCTTTGTAATAAAACTTAATCTTGTGGGGGAAAGCATTGTAGCTTTCCTCACAAAACATTTAGATTGCTATAGTGTCTCTCCATATAGTTTTTTTCTTATGATTTTTTTAAAATTATCTTTATCAATTTTATTTTTTTTAATATTGAGCTAGTTAAAAATTAAAATTACAAGTAATTATAAATAAGACTAAATCATGTGGGGGAAGCAATATAGCTTTCATCACAAAACATTGTAAATTGTTATAATGTTTCCAACATAGTTTTTTTTTCCCTTTTTTTATGTTTTTTTGTTATTTTTTTTAAATTGTCTATGTTGATTTTTTTTTAATATTGAGCTGATTGAAAATTTAGTTTTGTAATTTTTTTCTTTAAAACACTATGAATTGCTGTAGTGTTTTTCTATATAATTTTTTTATGATTTTTTTAAAATTATCTTT